AAAATTTACATCACAGCAATGACAAAATATTATTACCATTCAGCACAGGCGCTGATGGCACAGTATTCATTATTGAAAACAATCAAATGTGTAGCAGTATATGGAAAAAACAGCATTCATTTAATGGTGTTGCCAACTTGAGTTGTACTGTACATTATTAACAAATAATAATGTAACTGGGTGGGGAAGAAAGGGGATAAGAGGTAAACAACTGCAGACTCCCTACACATTCAGAGTTTCTATTTTCTTAAAAAGGGAAACAGCTGTCCCAGCTGAACAACACTTTTTAGAATTTCTCTAGTATACCATGTGATCTGTGTGTCATTTCCTAGTATTGCCTTTTGTTTAGAACTGCTTGTATCACTTGCAAAGTCGATGGTATTGACTTGGATTTCCAATGTTGTGCAATTATGTTTTTGGCTGCAGTGAGAACATGAGGAGTCAGTGCTCGATGGGCTTGAGGTATGGACTCAGGCAACATGTCTAGAATGAACACCTGTGGTAGGAGCAAGATCCACATTTCTAAGAGCTGTTGGAGTAGTGTTTGTATGTTCACACAGAATGATTGTACAGATTGACATGACCAAAAAATGTGGAGCATAGTCCCTGATTCTTTGTTTGTCGGAATATCGATGGACACCTTCACCTTAGGCATATCGGTGTTAAGTACCATCTGGACCAGACTTTCCTGCTAGTCTACCAGTGGGCGAAACGTCTCAACACCCCTTTCATAGCTAATAAAGCCTTTTTCCACTCTTCCTTTGAGAATGATTGATCAAGCTCTTCTTCCTAATTAGTGATAAATGATTACTTCTGATTGAAAATTGGAAATATCAGAGCTTGGTAGCATTAAAAAAGTGATTTATTTCAAGAAGGAGTATCTAAACAGGCATTAATTAGGTTAGTGTAGTGGTTTGACATGTGGTTGTAGTTTATGTGATTGGAAGATGTGCTCAATCTGGAGGTATTTAAATATTTCTCCACTGGAAAGACCAACTTTTTCCCAAAGAGCAGAGAAAAGCAAAATATTGTCATGTTGTAACAGATTACATATTGTGGATGTACCTGCATTTTTAAGGTGGAGGTCCAGTGAAAGCAGCTCGAGCATCGTTAGTGGGGCAAAGTAGAGACAAGAGCATGGCTTCAATATGGGGAATGTTTTTTGTCTCCTGGCGTGGATGGCCAGCTTAGAGGTCGCCAGGGCTAGTGTCAAAGGAGTTTGAGTTAATGTGGTGTCCAGAAAAGATTAGCTTCTGTATAGGGAGTTAAATAGCCTGCTCTAGTTGATGCCACATTGGGAACATTTTGGCGTGGAATGTAACCAGAGTTTGATAAAGTATGGATGCTGTATAATAGTTTGAGATATCAGGATCCCCTAAGCCTCCTTGGTTTGGTAGTACGCAAAAGGTTCTTAATGCTATTCAGGGCAGACATTTATTTCAGATATGTGAATTGAGGGTACATTGAATTCTTTGCAGAAGAGAATTGGGAAGTTTGATCAGTAGTTTGCGGAACAGATATAGGATCAATAGCAGAGCACACATTTGATGGAGCGAATGCGACCAACCTATGAGATATCATGTGCTGTTCACTTTGTAAGCAAGGTCTGTAACTTAGTCAATAGCACTTTATGATTCTCCTTAATGAGAGTGAGGGTGCAGTGTGAGCTTTATTTCGAGTCTAGTCAAATGTATTTTTTAATTAAATTTCTTGTTTTTATTTTGCAAATTGAACACAACTCATCATAATAACTATTGCCAAAGTAAACACAAGCAAATAATTCAACAGCTTTAATTTGCTGCGTTTTGTTTTCCATTTTATACGCATTTTAAGTTATGTTTATTAAAAAAAAAAAAGTAATTGCGTGATGTCCTTTTTTTAAAGGAAACAAATTTAAGTGGTTTCCTCTAAGCTACAATCCTCCTGAAAGTCTGAATATTTTGGAGCACATTTAAGTTTTATATTTATTTTCTAATTATCAAAAAGATCCATCTTTGCATATCATGTTCTATTTCCAGAGGGTTTATCAACCACCCTAATGACACATATACATAATACATGCATTAAACATTTAAGTTTTAATATATGAGCATGCAGATAACTGTAAGTAATAATGTTTTATATATGAAGTGGAAACATTTTTCACTTTGAAATGGTTAAAATGCCTGAGAAAAAAACTTATACCCATAACAATTTAATTTAATTATTGCTATTTCATGCTATATATCATTTATGCAATTTTATAGCTCTTTTTAAAAATTAATTTGTGTGACCTCTTTGAAGCTATTCCTTAGTGCTGCTGGCCTGTTCATTGATGTGACTTTATTCATATTTCTTTCAATTACCTTAAAGAAGAACAAAAGCACTCGCGCACAGTTTTACTTCGCAAATATAGCATGCAGTAAAGTTAAACAGCTTATTAAAACATTTCTTGGTTTTATTGTGAGACAGTTGAAGTATTTCAAGTTAAGTAATGCTGTAAGATCACCTTCTAAAATCAGTTTAATAGATTAAATATTAAAGCATGGAATTTCCTACAGATATAATAGAATAGTATTAATTGTTATTAAAGTTACATATAAAAACAGAATCTGACATATTTCTAAAATAGAATTATATGATAAAAATGATCTTAAAGGAACAGTTTAAGCACCATCTCAATGAAGTGGTCTAGTTGCAGTGGTTCTTTCGTTTAAACACTGCAAAGTAAAACTTTGCCATTTAGTAAATATGGAAATGCGAAGTCAAGTAACTATGTCTATAACTGGCTGTAATTCCTTCCGCTATGAGAACTTAGTCAAACTCTGTGATTACAAGAGACCTCCATTTTATTGGAGGAGTGCAGGTCTGGCCACGCATGTGCTTTTAATCTCCTATGCGTCTCTATAAGTCGGTGTGATGTCTGGGTAGGTGGATCAAGCAACTGGAGGGACTGGGTCTCGGAAAAAAAGGTGAGTAAAACTCTTTTTCCATTTTTTTCTTCATTTTTTTATACTTGAGGGTAGACATCCTTTAACTGAACGCAAAGCAGAACACTATAGAGTTAGGAACAAGTTTGTATTCCTTATGCTATAGTATTGCATTAGCAAATGGTTTGACTACTTACTCTGACACTCCTAATACCATAACCACTAAAGTGTGCTGTAGTGCTTGTGGTGTCTGTTGTGCTCCTTTAAGTTTAATGACAATACTCAGACATGTAATCTGCTCTTTGTACAAAATGAAGAATCCACTAAGGTTTGTTACACTAGTAGCTCAATTGACTTACACAATGCTAGGTGAAATAATTATTTTTAGGATGATTCTTCAAGTCAGCTATTTTGAAAAAAAAAAAATTTATCTGAAAAGTCACTTGTTGCAACACACACATCTGACAGTTACAGCCAGGCATGGTCCGAAAATATAAACATGTTGACTGTTCACTAAGCATTTACTAACTCTGGTAATGAAACTTTGAAATATTCATTTTGGCGCATGGCAATGGCATAGCATCATGCAGATCCAACAGAACTTTGCTGCTGTCTATTCATATTATGAGTCTTCTGTCTTAATATAAAGAACAGAGGTTGTGCAAAACATCTCACTGAAATCAAATCACTCATGTTCGTATGATACATTTGAAATGATAGGTTGTTATTTTGCATATAGGGCTATAGACATGTAGTATAGGCCATGACATAAAACAAAACAAATCACAATATACACAATGTTTAAGCTATGTTACTCATTTCAAGTGAATCTTCATCTATACACACAAAGAAAACAAGGGAATCAGTAGACACAACACAGGGATAGAGGTGGACCTCATCAGAGATGGTATAATATTAGACAGGCAGGGTAGTATTCTTTAGCCTGACAAGGGAACACTCATCAGAAGACCTGTCATAAACCTGATAATCCACTAAGAAAAAATGTTAATCACACAAGCACTTGTCTCTTTAGATTGAGTCCTTAAAGGGCATGCATCCACAATGTATAAAAAGGCCACTCACTGGCATTAGTTACATGGCTGTTACTGCAGGTAGCTTGATGCTGTCAGAAAATCTAGGAACAGAAACCTATAACACAGCTAAGGTAACAGAATGCTGGAGAACTAATCGGAATGCTGAGAATATTGACTTAGCTGTATATCAGGGAGACTGGATAGCTCAAGCTGTAGAAGGTTAATAAGAAGCCATAACATTAGGAAGATAAACTAGTATAAATGAGAAAATACTCTTGGCACTTGTAGAAATCCTAAAATTCAACCGCACACTGATTGAGGCTCAGATGCTATGAGGCCTCTGGGTCTGGAAACATTACCCCATACATGTATGTATTTCAAATAATAGGTACATTTTTGAAACCTTTAACATGTACTGTATAATTTCTACATGTGATGTGAAGGTGTAGGCATGCTTGTACTATAGGCATACACTGGGTATATGAGCACTAGAACCAGCTGGTATTAAAGATACTAATGTATGCCATAAAGCATTTTTCACATGTCACAGTACGATATTTGCATTATAATATGACATACTGGTTAAATGATGCAATGTAAATGTTAACTCATGTCATCTGTACACATAACTTATATAAACTTTTAAAAATGCTAAATTACATATTCATTTTCTTATTAAGTAGGGATAATACAAATTAGACATAGTTTGGTTATTTTTGTGTGGGTTTAAAAAAAGTGTAATTTTTGGGTTTATTTTTATTTTTCATTGGATATTTAGTTCATCCCCTCTTACCATTGACATTTGATCTAATACGTGACATACATGTAAATGACGTGCTGAAAATGCACAGCCTGTCTATCCTATATTATTTTTTCGATTTAAAAAGTGTACACAAAATGGTAAAATTTGCAATAATGCTGAAAATCAGGCCATAACAAACAATGCTTTAAACCTTTGAAATTACACATTCTACAAATGTGTTTATCACATTTGAGCTATAAAAATATGCAAGGTCCAAAACTGCATGCCCCCTCACATACATTCCAATGGGTGGACATGGAGAACAATTATTTTCCACGTTCCTCAGTGGTAGACGTACTGTGGACACCCAAACACCTCAGGGATAAAAGCACCTCACTGCTTCCTACGTCTAGAATCACACTGCAAATGTGGGACTACCTCCATAAACGACATGAGAACACTGCAAAATTTTCTCCATGGGCTCCGATAACAACGTTACATTCCATCTCCCCATGGTTATCTTTACATAAATGGAAAGACAAGGGCATTACACACATCACTGATATATATCAACATGGGACCATTTTACCCTTCCCTGATATACAACTCAAGTATGCCTTACCGTCCAACTACATATTCCCATACCTCCAACTCAAAAGCATAATTAAAGAAAGGATACAAACCCCGACCCAACATGCTCCCGCCCTAAACCTTGATCTTATAGCTATATATAATAGGTGCCGAAAAGCGCCAATCAAAGCCAAAGCTTTATCCCTTGGATATGCCGCCTTAGGGCAACATCCCCCTCTGACGAATTTCGCTTTTGCGATCCAATGGCACAAAGAAGGGCACCCACAGTTCACTACTGTTCAGTGGCTAAGGTCACTTGGGGCACTCAAAGGCGTGACCTCTTGCTACACCCACATAGAGGCACATAAGAAACTTGTGTATCGGTGGTACCTCACACCTCACAAACTACATAAAATCTATCCGGCAACCCCGAACACATGTTGGCGATGCACTAATGATATAGGGACAATGAGGCATGTCTGGTGGGACTGCCCAAATATTTTACCATTGTGGACTGAAGTCCAACGACTGGGCAAATCTCTAGGAATTATGAAGGGAACACTAACACCCACCATTAGTCTGTTCCTATTATTGCCTGCTCAAGTTTCTGCACAGGACAAGCAACTACTGATTATACTAATACTAGCTGCGCGCAACCTTATAGCGTTCCACTGGAAACAACAGACCTGCCCGACGCCTAAGCAACTACTCCACAAAACACAACAGTATCTGCGACATGAGATGCTGATTACATCGACTCCCAGTCGTAGAGATATCACACACAATAATTGGCAATGATGGAGCAACTACATAACCGACAGTCAGAATCCAGGGTAATTTACCATGCATACATAGGCTACTCTACATACCGGGACGGCTTTAAGCACAAACATGACATACGACGCACGACTGACAACAACAGGCTGGATACACATTTGTATGTATTAACGACTGCACAAGGTGTTATGTTTGTAACTAACTATTTGTAACTATTACATTGTAACTATCTAATATATACTTGTGGATACCGCCCCCCCCTTCTTCCTTTCTGTACCCCCCACATGGTTGTTTTGAAAACTCAATAAAATACGAATTTGAAAAAAAAAATATGCAAGGTCAAAGAATGCATTTGATCCTTTTTAATTATTCACTGTTAGAATAACAGCTCATAGAAATGTTCCTGAGAATCTTGAATCTTGAAATATTAAAAAAATAAAATAAAATAAACTTTAAAGAAAATTGAAATATATACAAAATTAAAAAACAAATAACCCAAATGTGGACACCTTGTAGGGAGATTTATAAAAGTGGAGCAATCACTGTGAACATCAATGGAATGTACCTTCTGAATCCAATGGTTTCCATTAACTTCCACCACTTCTAGAGCTCTACTCAACATATACATTATTGACATAGTTATGATGAGTTTGTCATCATTGCATTGCTATCCAGAGTTCCCTGTAATGCTAAGAAAGAAATAACCCCTTGAATCACATAATTTGTGATGTTACCACATCAATGCACCATATTTGGAGTTGATGATACAGCACTTGGGTCCAATAAAATTGCCTTTATTTAAATTTGGAGTGCCTGGATCCTTTGTTCTTGTGATGATACAGCACAGTCTGAGTTTATAAATATAGGTTTATATAATACTCTGATTTCAATTAAACATTTTGGGTCACATTGTGAGTTATAAAACACGTTAGGGTGTAGGGTTGGACTTGGGTTAGGGTTTGGCAAAATATAGTGCTGATTTTGTGAGAGACTTAACTCAATATTGATGCAGGAGAGGCCATAAAATGTACCCATGGGGTGTAGCCCATATTCTCCAGTGATTCTAAAACAATGCAAAGACAGATTTTTAGGTACAAAACATACAATTGGTATTTACTTGCTATACAACAAACTGTGGCAAGCTATACAAATTTGTACTTAGTTGAGCTATAAGAGATCTTCTTTGCAGGAGAATTGGCAATGTTTCCATGTCTCCTATTTTGAAGCAATTTTCAATGTCAGTTCTAGCAATTTGTATTTTTTTGTTAATTAATCCGTTGTCAAGCAGCATAGGTTACCATAACACCATAATATAAAATTAAAAATATATTAATGTTTCTGTATAAAGCAAATAACTTGTATTTACATGATTTTAGGCCAGTAAATATATTTTGTCAGTCTATATTTTCATTTCACTTTTAATCAAGCTACTGTATAATGATACACTGTAACATCAAGACTTTAAAAAAAAAGTTATAAAAAAAACCCTCAACAATTGCAATATTTGGAGTCTATGTAATAAAGCAGATTTAACTCTAGTTTTGAGTGACTATGCCTTTAAAACTGCACAATTCTATCAACATTCCACTCTAGGACATTTAACAGGTATCTCTTTGCCTGCCTGTCGAGTTTAGAGACTGAGTGACCTTAAAACTGCTTATAACCTGGAAAAACTGCTGATAAGCAAACTGATTTCTAATTTAATAGGCATCAAAGCCTTGTTTTAATGCCCTGAAAAAATGTGTTTTGTTATCCCATGTACACCTATAACAACTAAAAGAACATTTTATCACCATTCACATATACATGCAAAATCAGCTTTTATTTTACTGTGCTTGGTGTGCACCTTTTTCTCCATCAGTCAATAGATATTAATATATATTTACATAACTATTTGATTTGTTTCATTTTCTGGTCTTTAAAATTGCTGTGTTGGTGAATATTTCCCTGAACTTTATACCTAAGACTTGCTATCCATGAATAGCAGTTTGTCTTTTTATTATTTCTGTTATGTAATTATTAGTTTACTTTTGAATTTTTAGTTTTAGTTATCCATTAACTTGTTATGGCATTTCCGATTGAACAGGTTGACTTAATGTGATAATGAAACAATTATAGTCCATAAGGACATAAAGGACAAAAATAAAATCAGGATTGTGAAAATTGCCGGCTTCAACCCCTTGACATTGTTCACATTGCTTTATTGAAAACAATTTGCTGTGACCTCTGCAAAGTAGGAGGAATCTGAGAAATCAGTTCTTGGTACAAAACAGTGATAAAAACAAACTTGTTACATCTCGATTAGCAAATAAATTGTGTATTGAACTTTAGGTGTTACACTTCTTGGAGCAACATTTTACTGGAAGGGGACATGGCTGCAGCTAAAATACAATAGGCACAACAAACATTCTTGTATTATACAATTAAAAAAATAATAAAAATTAAAAGTATTTCTCATCTTAAATTTAATCAGTACTCTGTTTCTATGCATTCTACGCTTGGAAGCAAAACAACTCACTAAACCCAAACTAGGTTTTATGGGATGGTAATAATTAAGATGGGTGAATTAAAAAAAAAAAAATTATGAGCAGCCTGACAGTTAAATTTGGTTTGGACCATTAGTGCACCACTCCGAAACTACTAGTTATTGATAATAAACTATATAAATCAAACTGATCATTTGTAAATAGGACATGTGATTGAGTTCATACCACATAACAACAGGTTTATGGTAGCCTGGCAACCAGGGCCAGATTTACATATCAGGTGTCTGTAGGCAATGTAGGCTAAGAATTCTAAGACACCCTTGCTTCTCCCTCAATCCCAAAACAAAGATACATAAAAGTTTATTGAATTTTATTGGCTGGACATTGTAGGCATAAAAATGTTTAAAAAAACTTCATATTTAACAACTGCATATCCGATTGGACAACAGAAAGGGGATTTGGACATCCTTGAATAGTCCAGAGGCGCATACCCCCGGAGTCATATGAGGGTATGACTCCAGGCTTGTGAGTGATATCACCATACTTTCCTTTATTATTTATTATTTGCAAAAACTGTATTGCACTATTTCCTGTAATATCTTGTCTTACAGAAATTTGAGACAAATACTTAGAAGCTCCACCTTCCTTGTATTTATGTATATTTGCTCTGAAGTGGTGTAGGGGTTACCACTTTTTTAGGTGTTAGAGCTTACCCATCTTTTTTAGTTCACCTTTGCACAGTGCACTTTTTCTTTTTTATAATATTTGAATTAAACTATAGACCATTCCTCTGCTTATGATGAGTGATGCTGCTACTCCAACATTTCTTCTCAACGTCATGCCCATAATCATAATGCTCAGTCTCTTCTACAGTTTCCAACTTTATTTGACTGTGAATGTTTCTTTGCTCCCAATAGCTTGTCGGTTAGATGGCAGCTCTGTAAATTTCCATGTCTCATTTTCGAAATGGGAATTTATGTCCTCGGTTGCTGCTTCTCTCCATCTGATGGAGGGAAGGAGCCAGTTTTGTTAATTTTTTGCTGATATCTGATATATTCAATATGTATGTGGCTCTTATTATTCTTATGGTTTCCTTATATCCTTCTTGTATATGTGAATTCCAAAACTCTCTCAAAGTTTGGAACCTAAACTGCATATGCATTCACCATGCCTGGTTTCATTTTTGCTGTTTTGTGGCATACTGCACGAACATAGTGCAACACTGATTGGAGGGACAGTGCCAGGGCACTCCAGGCACTATAACCAATTCAAAGAGATGAAATGCTTATAGTGACTACAGTGTCCCTTTAATAAATCTTAAAGATTTGATTTAATCAACGTGTTCCTAGGTTGTAATGTAAACACTGCCTTTTACAATAAGCTGTAGTTGGTCTGGTGAATATAGTGTCCCTTTAATCTTTACTGGTATAAGAAACAGACATTGGGTACAAAATAACAAAAAACACAGAAAACTGTAACAGTATTTCAGTTTGAAGTACATAGTTCATCATAGAGACATGCAAAGAACTAGGATGAACTGTATATTCTTTTTTAACTAAATGTGCACTTGTAACAGCTCCACCATCTGTTGGAGTCTGTAAATTACAATCATTATTATATAATGACTGTTGTCGCTAATCCAGCAGAAAATTGGATGCATTTTTATGTTTTTTTTAGTTGAGTTTATATTCACTATTTTCTGAATGAACTGTTGTATTGATATATTAAAAGGGAACTGTCACTTTCCTAAAATTTACATTGAAAACCACATTTTTTTTTCCCATGACATACTCTGTTTTCTTTTCTTATTTTTTTTTTCTTTTTTACTAAAGGTAAAGCAAATTACAACATAACCCAATTCCAAGAAGACAAAGCCAGGGAAAATATTGCAGATGAAGAGGAGACATAGAAAAACGGTTTCATTTTGGCTCTTTTCTGTATGCTTCTTGTATGCAAAGGACTGAGCTAAGGTATGCATTATCTATTTTTTTTTTCATCTCAAAAAATGTGATTGTTAAATGTAGCCATAATTATACATAATAAAAATC